TACTCTTTTGTTGTAGCTCCTCCGTGAATATTTTTCTGCCAAAAGTGAGAGCACTTTATTCTTTTCTAACTGATATTTTGGGAATTCACTCTTTTCATGGGCCTCATTTTCTCAGTTTCTGTTTGATTCTGCTGCAAATCTGAAAGACTTCTTTTTTCCCCCTCTTTTTTTTTTGGTGTATTTTCTTTTTAATGCCTGTAAAGACAATCCCAGGCTTAAGATACTGATCTTTTTAATGGAAAGAAACAAGAATTAGGGAGGCAGCAGTAGATGGTAATTCCCATTTTCATTTTTATGCAAACTTGTCTTTCCTGGAAGCATTATAATGATAATAAATGAAAGTTGTTTCCGAAGTGGGAACGCTGCCACTCAGAGATTGTGTGCTGACAACCTAATTGATCTGTTCTCTCTGCAGCAGAAATCCCCTTCTTTATCTCTTAAGTAGGCATTTGAAGAGGTGCTTTTACCTAATCTTTTGGACTCACCTGTCTTGAAACCTTACCACATCTTGATGTTGAACTTCCGTGCAAATTATCATGGGCTGCTGCATTTTTCACCTCGTTTTTTACTCCCCTGCCTGATGGATCCCGAGGAATCTTCCTGGCAAGGGAAGAGCACAGTTGGTATGGACCATCAAAGGGTAGCAGAGGGAAGGCAGAAGGAAATTTATTTCTGGGTGGTAAAGACCCAGGGTTTACATGCGAGGCGTGCCAGGAAGAGGGAGGGAAAGGTCCTGGCCAAGCTGCTGTTTCCCTCGTCGAGTTTGGGAGCATGGCAGCATCTGGGTGGGCAGGCTGGGGTGGTTCTGGATGCAGGAGCTGTGGTGGGAGAGAAATGAGGGATAAACCACAGGTGAAGCTCATCATTGATCCTTCCTCTCATTATCTGGAGCTGTTCAGAGGAGTCCCTGCTCCTCCCCGCCTGTGTGCTGTGAGGATGGGCACAAACATCCTGCGCAGGGGAGCACCTGTGAGCTGGTGCCTGCCCCTGGAGAGCCCTGGCAGGCCAAGGGAAGGCACTTTCCCTCCCCACCGTGAGTTCCCTCAGGCGTTTGGCAAGGCCAGCCTCTTCTTCTCAGGTTGCCAAAGCCCAAGATGTGTGTCTGAAGATGGGTGCAGAGCCTAGACAGAGAGAGAGAGAGACACAAACGAATTACTCATGCAGAGAACTGAAAATGCTGCCCTATTCCTTCCTTTCATACAGTGCTCAGCCCTGTAACCCGTATTTTTGGGGTGTATTTGTAATGTAAATGGCCTTCTGCATCAAGCCCGGGGAGGATTTGAACTGTGATCTGAACTGTGTGGTAGCTCTGGCACTGGGCCTGGGGTTATTTCAGGGGTCTGCACCACAGTGCCCAAGGTCTGAAGACAAAAATTAACAGGATAACAAGTGCTGCCATCTCAATCTTTTCCCTTTAGGTATTTGCTGTGTGAGCCTCAGAAGCTGCCACATCCAACACTGCATGAGGCAGCAGCGTGAGCTCACCAGTGAAAGTGAACTATAATTTATTAGCCATACCAGGAGCTAATAAACCAGCTTCCCGTGCAGTTCCACAGGGTTTTGATGCATGATACACAATAAAGCAGCAACCCAAAGGGGTGTAACCACGGAACCAGGCTCTTACCCCTGGAAACCCTTGTTCCTTAAAAACGAAATGCTTCACATTTTTATTTTCTGCTCTAAGACATGAGATCAGCGACGAAAAGACGTTCACCCTTGCTCTGACAGAAGTGAATTTTGGATGCTACAAATTGCTTTCCTATGAGTGCTCTTTCTTGCTGCTACTCCTTCCTGTAATTACACCGACTTTGTTTGCCAGATGTGCAGTGACAACATTATACCGCTGTAGTCTGTTTTCCAGTCGCTTTATTTGTTCCAAGGACAACTCCTTTCTTGCCTTTTCTTTAGGGGAGGAAATAGACAAAGGGGGGAGAGAAAAAAAATCCTTTACAAATGTTTTAAAGTGCAAAGACCGGGACAATGGGTTTTTCCCCCCCCTCTCTGTCTAACTGAAACAATGAAAGTCCTGCACTTTAATCTTCTTAGCCCCAGGGGTCTTCTAATTATTGCAGCTGTTGCACAGGCTTATGCATAGTGAGTCCTCCTTCCCATTCATCTCGGAGGCTCTTTCATGTCCATTAGCTCCTCGCTGGAAATGGAGGAGCCTCCAGCGCTGAGAATAGGTGAAGTTTACCTTGTGGATCAGGGCGAGGAGAACAAAGCATTCCCCGAGTTCCTTTCCAGGATTTACAAATGACCAAAGGCTCTTCTTTGCCTGGGCGAAATCCACTTTAAATTGGCTGGGATTTTAACTCTTTAGTCCTGCCTCGTTCAGGTGTCCTACCCGGGCACAGCCAGGGCACCACAGAAGGGCAGTGGTGCTTCCAACATGGAAAAAAAAAAAGGTAGGAATGAGAGGTGTAATAGCTGGTTGTGGAAAATGCACTCATATGTTTAAGCAGCAGGAAGCTTTAAAAAAAAAAAATACAGCTTTAGAGAAATATGTTGCCATCCCCTCTAAGGTAACAAGTCTTTTGGTGGCTGTGCTGAGAAGCAGAAACTCTTGTGCCCAGTTTGAAGTCATAGAAATCCCTTTAACAATTTCGGAAAAAATTTATAAAAAAGAGACAATGAATCCAAATTCACACAAAATACATTTTAATTAGGATTAAAACGACAAACTGAGTTAACAAATTGCTTCATGTAATTGGACATTTCTGACTCAGCATCAAATATGTTTTATTACAGAAATGCCAATGTTATAAAAAAGGAAGTTTTAAAATGCTTGTATATGTTCAAAAATAACAAATAGAGTAGGCAGATGCTCAGCTTGTGACTATTATTATGGGTTCACAGTGAAACAGGATAAATATTTTATCTGCTTCCGTTGGGAGCTCTGTAAAAGTTGTCCATTTTTAAAATCTAGATCCAGAACCCCCAGCAGGCCACCTGAAATCCTACTTTTATTTACTACTGTGCTACTAATATAGCAATCCTCATTTATACCAGCGGGTGTTCTGCTCACAGTTTCAACCACTGCTACTAAATTCTGAATACATTAAAATAAATACTTTTATGCATACCACATGTTATAAAAATATAAATCACCAGATAATATATTTTGTGATTTTAAGTTTTAAATGCTGATGTTGGCTAACTGTGTGTTCTGGGGTGTGGGGCTGTGGGGAGCAGGGTGTCCCCCATCCCCAGCTGAAGCATTCCTTTGGCTCCCAGCACAGGATGAAGATGCCCTTTGGAAGCTGTCCCTGTTCTCTGCTCTTGTTCTTGAAATCTGCCCAGAAATTGTTTGGAACGGTGTTGTGGGGCCTGAGCCAAATAATGCAGTAAAATAACCTAACAATTTAACACCCCTAATGACTGAATTTCAGGCACCTGGAAAGTTTAATGTAATGATGCAAACACAGCCATAATTTTCCGGGGTGTATTCTTCACTTGTCACTGTTGCCAAACAACACTTGGATCCATTTTGAAGCTGAAATTTCACTGTTGCTTGGAAGAAGCTGTTGGTGATGGGTTTTGTCAGTTCTGAAAGGCATTTTATAGGGATGCTGGTGGTCTGCAAGCTTCCAGTTAGTGGCTGCAGCTGGTGTGTGACTCTCTATTAAATGATGAAATATGGGGATTCCCAGCCTTTCTTCTTTTATTTCCTGTTTCTCTGCGAGTGGCTTTGATAAAAAAAAAAAATTATGTCTGATGGCTGAGTAGTTTTCAGATAATATCTTCTGTATTAATTTCTTAGTGAATCATGACAAGAAGAAAAATGTGTACTCTCTGCTTCTTGGCCATGTGCAGATTTTTGATGGCTGGCAAGACTTTACTGTATTTGTCTGCCTGAGAAAAAGATTTCTAAATAAGTTGGAAACTCTTGCATCAACAATTTGCTAAGTGACCTGTATTTTTATTTTCTTGTGAACTAGCAGACTTTCTTTATCTTTCAACAATGCTCTAACAGCAAAGACTTGTTGTAAAATTAGTTATTGCTACAATATTACTATTTTCCCAATCTATATTACATTATGCTGTTTCCTCATCATGAAGTACTCCAGTAAAACCATCAGAGAAAAGGAACATTCAGTGGTTTAGGGGCTTGCTTTGTTTCGTTTTCTTGCTTTTCTTGCTTTTCTTTGTTTTCTGGTTGTTTTATGGTGTTGAAACACTTTTGAGGATTTTAGAGTGCAATTAGGTATTGCAAGGGACATGCCTTTGATGCTAAACTGTAAAAGACAGTGGTAATAGGGGGAAATGATTTTGTAAGGTGGAATGGCTGCTTTCTGCCACTTCAGTGCCCTTTATGGTTTGTTCTAGCTGTTGTCACATTCAGTGGGAATTGTGTGTGTAGAAAACAGAATGTGGCTTCTAGACAGATCCTGCCTTAAACAAAACCATCTTCACACCAGGCCTCCCTCTCCAAAGGTCTGACGTGCTCCAGAAGCTGCTGAAATTGTCAAGGTCCTTTTCAGAACCAGAAAAACCCCAGATAAGATCATGCTTTGTTTTGTCTGTACCATCTGTGCTGTGTGCAGGAAAATATGGCTATGGAAAATTGACCAAAATCCATATAGTGATAAATGATGTATTTCTAGTGATCTTTGATGAGTAGAAACAGCCACCAGGCCCATCACTGATTAGCAAATCTGCTTCAAAAAAGTGCATTTTTGGGGGTATTTTGTCATTACTAGTAGCAGCCACTAGAGGGAGAACATAATTTATACCGTGATATCTCACATTTTTGTATTATTTTTCATTTTGCTCACCTGTTTTCAGCATTCTGACAACACCTAGGTGAGGTTACAGAGTGGTGATGGTTGTGGAAACAACCCCAAATGTGCCACTGATGGGGTTTTTGGGTTACAGAGTGGTGATGGTTGTGGAAACAACCTCAAATGTGCCACTGATGGGGTTTTTGGGTTACAGAGCGGTGATGGCTGCAGAAACAACCCAAAATGTGCCACTAACAGGGGTGTTTTTTTGCCTTCCAGGTGTTGTGTTTCACTACCGGGCTGCCACGAGCAGGTACACCCTGAATTTCACACAGGCCCACCAGACCTGCCGGGACAATGGTGCTGTCATGGCCAGCCCAGAGCAGCTGAAAGCAGCCTATGAGGATGGGTTTGAGCAGTGTGATGCTGGATGGGTGTCTGACCAGACTGTCAGGTGAGTTTCAAACGCCCCTTCACATTTTTACCCAAAATTTGTGTGCCTGGCCTGTGCAGACCTAAACTGTTGTTTTGCCGTAACTGATGCCTTGGAGTGGCTGCCTGGAAGAGAGCCTGGATAAGATTAAGAGAATAAAGTGGGTATTTATTAAAGGCCTTCAAAAGGTGCATCTTGGATAGTTAGAAACCTCCCAGAGGCTATACCCAAGACGGACAATGGTCACAAGTTTTTTATGCAATTATAAGTTTGGTCCATTTCCATTTCAGGAGTTAATCCTCCAATTACGGCTTCAGGTAATGAAGTCATTTACTCCCGATTTCCTTGCCCCCCAACCCACTTTATACTTTTGTTTATGCTTTTTATACTGTTTATACTTTCAGGGCCTGAGGCTGTAGGGTGCCCTTGAGTTTCAGGCCCAGAGGGATTGTGTTGTCTGACCAAAATTTGAAGACACTCATTCACACTCTATATGGAGTTCAGAGTTACACCCTAAAGCAGCACAGGATTTGAAAAATATAAAAGCTGAAATCCTAAGGGGTCGTAACGATACATTTTCTGCATTTCCAGGTATCCAATTAGACATCCAAGAGTTGGCTGCTTTGGAGATAAGATGGGAAAGAAAGGAGTCAGGACCTATGGGCGCCGCTTCCCTAACGAGACTTACGATGTTTATTGCTATGTGGAGCACATGGAAGGTGAGATGGGTCTGCAAAGCCTGGAAGTGCACTGCAAGGCTTAAGAAGTGACTGGGGAGCCTAATGTGGAAGAGCAGAGAGGGAGAAAATTCCATTTAAAATAGTTTTTGGCTGCTCTGGATCTGAAGGGAGCTGCCAAATGGAGGGAACCTACAGTTTGTGGTCCTGCAGGTCTTAATTAAAGGCCAGTGTGGAGTCCACAGAGAGGCAGTCAGGGTTCAAGCTGGCTATAGTTAGTGCAGTAGATCTCACAAAAGTTGCTGTTGAAGTGTCTTATTTTTTGAATGTTACATAAAAGTATTTTCAAAAAAATGCATTTAATGTTTCAGAAACTGTGTGTGCTATATATAAGTATATACAAAGATAGATGTAGTATATGAGCTAACTGTATTACAGTTCATAAAGTGTGTAATTAGGTCTTTTTATACGTCCATGGCATAAAATTAGACAGATATTGAATTGCCATCTATGTTTAATAGTATCTTTTTAATAAAGGGTCATCTCAGGTTCAGAAAGAAATGAGAAAAAACTTTGTAGTTTCTGGGCCTAGTTTAGTAAAATTATTACAGAGATACTTTGCAACCAGGACCAAAGTATATTTTCCACTTATTACACACTTACAATGGCCTGAGTGTGTCCCAATGTTATCTGTTTGACAGGTTTTTATTCCGTGCCAGTTCCACCGTTCCTGTCTAAAAAAAACCCTGACAATTCCTAACTAAACATCCTCAGGGATGGTCCTTGGCTGTTACACTTTTAATTTAGTGCTCTTAAAGTCAACAGAAAAATAAATTAGCCTTGGCTCTGAGCAAGCCTGCCTTTGTAGGTGTACATATATTTTTAAAAAGCAATTGCAAAATGCAAGTGTTCAATGTTTATTTGTAATCTGTTTTACATAAGATATAGATTAGGTCATGCAAATTTTTCTCCTGCTGGCGACTTAGAGAGGTTTGAGTTACTGAAATCAGTAAGTGTTTTAGTTTTAATAGCTGAAGATCTGTCCTAGACCACTTGGAGATTTATGCAATACAAGCATCACAGGTATTGCAAAGCCTCCAGAAAAGATATATGCTTGAGAATTTGTAACTTGAACTTGAAAATTAAGTGACAGAATTTTGTTAGTGCTTTTCATTGTCTTAATTTTAGTTATGTCCCGTTTACATCTGTCAGTGAGCACCACCTGTGAACATCAACAGTTCATGACATTTGATCCTCCATCAGTCCTTGATGGGATTGGATTCTGAATCTCCTCTAAATCGAGCTTTTAAATTCAATTTATGTCTTTCCTAGCTTAAAAAAAGAAGGTTTAGTAAAAAACCTAACCTGTGTAATTCCTGGGTGAAGAACAATCTCTTGCTCTTTTCCCTCTTCAAGAGCAGAGAAGTGTAGCTAATACAGAGCAGATTGTCCTGGGTGCATGTGAGCCAGCAGTTTCTCAGGGTCAAAATTTATCACTAATCTTTCAAAAATAAAACTGAAGTCAAAACTGAAGCATTTTTCACTGAGTCTGATGATCTCTGCTTGGAGCAACCTGGAACCAGACTGGTGTGTGGTTCAAAGAGGCTGCAGTGACTGTGCCATCCTCCTGGATGAAAATGCACAGGTCCTCAGTTTCTCATGGGCATTAATTGGTTCTTAGTTATAAAATTTAATTTGCCACAAGTTATGACCTGGTTTCCCTCTCTGGATGCATCTACACTTCTGTCCCACTGTTGTGGCCTGTCAGCTGGACTGTGGTGACATGATCTGCTTTATATGTGAAAACGTCCAGATTTTAACAAATACATAAGCTAGAGCACAATATTGTAGAGATTTGCTTCATTATATTGCATTCATTATATTGAACAAGTTTAATGTCAGATTGTTATAATAGTTAGCCAAAGACACTCCCCAACATTTCCCTTTTGTTATTTTTGGTGGGTTTTTTTTTCTTCATTTGGGTTCCTTTTGTTTGGTTTGTTTTTTTGTTTTATTTCAATTTGGGTATTTTTGGTTGGTTGGTTGTCTTGTTTGTTGGCTTTTGTGTGTATGTGAGAGAGATTTTATTATTTTCTCATTCTCTCAGAACTTTTAAAATGATCAGGAGCGTGACAACAACTTCTACGAACCTCCAGGAGGAGTTTATGGGTACAGGGCACAGAAACAGCGAGGGTGGGTTCTGCTGACATACAGAGGAGTTAAATTATTCTGTTTGGATGAGGAGAAGCAGGCGCATGCTGAGGAAAAGACACGGTGTCACACTGTGGTGTAGTGCAGGATAAACCACTCCTCAGTGCCTTCGCAGAAACTTGAGCCTCTGAGCCGGACTCCCCATTCCAGGTGGGGCTGAGGAGCCAAGGTGGCCTTTGTCTGTCCAACAGGAGCAGTTTCTGACAGGACAGAGGTTAATTTGGAGTGGGGAGGAGCTTGTTAGAAGATACGCATCATCTGCGAGTTTATACTTCAGAACCACTCACCCACAGAAGATGGAAATTTAGAATGTCAGTGGAGTTATTGGAAAGTTGAATTAAACTAGATTGCTGTGTTGGTAGGAAACTTACAGATCAAGAGCTAAAATTGTGCCAGATTTCTAATGGCCCTGTTCTCCAAAGGTTAATCCTACAAGGTGTGACCTTTAGCTTAAATCATAGCAAAATGAATCCATGGCACTTAGGGTGTGCTTAAATACAACTTTTTCCATGTGAGTTTTAAAGCTCATATCTGTGTACCCAGCCATGATTCAATGCCAAGTCTATTAGACTTGCTTGCACTAAAGAGGTCCTTATTTGGAGGGTCTGTGTCAGTGGAATGACTATTCATGGCACAAGCCTGAGTAATGATATCAAAATTTGGGCAATAACGAGGGTCTCACCATGGAAGTCATTGAACACTTATTGGTCTGTTGGCTGCTGTTGGTCTGTTACCCCAGAAGGCCATAAATGGTGGTGGGAATTCTCGCAATACATTTTAAAATAAATGTGCATTGAATTTGCAGTACTAATTTGGGTATCTGCACTGAGGATTTGTAGGAGCAACTCCATCTCGATTTTATTCCTTTTTGGCCATGTGGAATCAGGAAGTTAGCCAGAGACATGGATTTCTCCTTAAATCACAAACTATTAGCTTAAATTGAAACCAGTTATCTAGGCTAACTCTTGCCATTTCCTTGTTCTGAGGAAAGTCAGAGAGATTAAAGACTGCACAATTCTAATTTAAATAGTATGAGTTTTGCTGCGACAGTCAGAAGAATAACTGTGGGAAGGATTGAAAATTTCTGAGCTCCTGGAGATAAAAATGAGAACCTGGAGTCAAAGTATCATTAAAAAGGTACCAGTCATGGCGTTTTATTACAAACTGTTTTACATTCCTCATATTTCATCACTTGTTTCAGTGTACCAAGCACTAGCAGAAACATTCAGGGTACTTTTAACTGCAGGAAGTGATTTATGAGTAAAGATTTTAAAGTGATTGAGCTGCAGAGGTTTGGACGAGGATCCCTTAACACCACCAGCCGAAGGGGTGTCTCCTGTGATGTGATCCCTTGGATGGAGATGGGTGATGGGTGAGGAAGAGTTTGAACTCTTCAGGCAAGCAGTGTGTGGTTATTTGGTGTCTGAGATGGAGATGGAACCACCACCAAAGCCCGCTTGGTGGGGTGGGTTTGTGCTGAGCCAAAGCACAAGCCACCCCATCAGGATTGTCTGCTGGCCATCAGAGCCCATGGATGCCTGGCTCTCATGTGCAGATGGGGCCCTCACGCCAACAGAGTTATTTTTGGGGTGTCTGTGGGGAGGATTGTGCAGCCCTCCTTCCATGCACCACCTCCCCCCCGCCACAGGGAGAGCAGGGAAGAAGGATAAAAACCAAAACCAGATGTCCTTTGAATACTTTCCACCTACTCTCATGCGGTTTTGCTGTTGTCATGGAAATTTCTGTGAGAGTGATGGTCATGATTAAAGGAATCATAGTCTAAAATGTGGCCTCAGGTGAGAAGTTTCTTCTGTGTTTTAGGGAGCTAAAGATCTTCTCTGGGATCTATTCTGATTCTGGAGCAACTAGATTAGGTTTCAAAAGTGGGACACAGAGAAAATCAGGTTTTTTCTCAAGTTCAGGGCATAGGGTAGAATTATCATCTTTTCCATTCTATTGGACACTTATCCAGCCTTCACCCCTCATGCAGGTTTGAGTTCTCAAGAGGATTCCTGTTCAGCCAATGGGTCTGCACAGAATAGACTCAAGACATTCAGGAAAGTTTAGTTAAACCATTGCTGCTTGTGCATCAAAAGGAATCAAATGACTTGTTCTGACGTGCAAGAGAAAAAGATTTCTTCATCTTATCCAGCCTCCTGCTTTAAAGTTGAACCAAGCTGCTTAGATGTTTGTGGTTTTCCAGCCCTGCAGAGTGGTTTTGGTAATTAGTGACTTTGTTAAGGACACCTCTTTATTACCCTGGTGTGTCAGAGAACCAGCCCTGAGCAGCAGAGAAAGAGAGGAGGGGGATGAGGAAGTTCTTGGTCCTGAAGTCACAAGGGTAAATATTTTAGTCCTCAAAGTGGTCATGGTATTCCTGCCTCTTTGCACACTTGACCATGTCCTAGGAATGAAGTTTTGAACAGATTCCATGTTTTTGAGGAAAAGAAAGTTGTGATGGCAGTGCCTCATGACTGCCTGGACTTTGACCTGCTGCCTGTGTCCAGGTGAGGAGCAGTAACCACAGGTTACAGGTGCAGGTGAGAAAATGCCCTTAGAATGCTCTATAAAACATCAAAAAAGATGGCATTTTGTCACTCTTAGCCAGCTTTTGTCTCCGACCCAGGGTTTTATCTCTACCCAGCTGTAGTCACAGAATCCAGGAGCTCTAACACTCCCAAAGGAAATCTCTGCTTGGTGAACTTGGTGGGTTCCAGCTCTCAGAAACAAATGAATAAATGAATAGGTCTGGAGTTCACCACAGGCACATTATGCTAAAAAAAAAAAGGGGAAAAAAAGGTAGCTCCCAAATTCTTAGTGGGAGATAGTGTTCTTCTCCTCAAACAAAACTATCACAGAGGAACTAAAATGAAAAGGCAAAGTTTTTGTCTTGGCTTTTTTTTTGTTTTTTTGGGGTTTTTTAGGTTTTTTGGGTTTTGATTTTTTTGTTCTGTTTTGTTGATTTGGTTCTTTGTTTTGTGGGGGTTTTTTTTGGCTTTTTTTGGGGGGGTTTGTTTGGGTTTTTTTTTTTGGTTTTTTTTTTTTTTGTTTGTTTGTTTTTTAATTGTGAGAGTTAAGCATTTTCTTCCGTGGGAATGATTAACTTTTCATATAATCAATATCCCTCTGCATTTTCTAATGCCTGACTTTGGATGGCTGTGAGGGGTGTAGAATCTGAGTGCCTGACCACAAGGTAAAGCTCATGAGCGCCAAATTCTGGATGAGACAGTAATAATCACAGAATCACAGAATCATTAAGGCTGGGTAAGAAGAATTTTGAGGTCATGAAGTCCAACCATCAGCCCAGCACCACTACCCCAGTCAACACAGTTGTGTGCTGGCCCCTGGCTTTGGTTCTAGCCTGCCCTTCTTCCCACCTTGCTTTTAAGTTGAGTGATTCATGACATTCACATCTACCAGTGTGCCCAGCTCACCCAGACATCTCCTGAGGAGAGAAAGTGAATCAAAGCAATTAAACTTGCTGTAAAATCAGCTGATAAGATTTTTAGAACTGATTCTTGTAGAACTTCAATGTTTTCCTCAGGGATTGCATGTGAGTCGTCTTTTGTCTTCAAGAGAAAAATCTGACTTCTTCATCTGCCCCAATGTTTTGTAAAGAGATGGAAAAAGCCTGACTTTCATCAGGTATCTCTTTTGACCAAGCAAAACAAACACATGTAAGAGGAAAATCCTGGGGATTCTTGGAGCGCAGTGACCGCTGAGGCCGCTCCATCAGCCTGAGGCTTGGTTTGGAACGGGAGCCAGCAATAACACACATTACATTATTGTCTGCAGCCTAAACACTGTCACGTTCTCCACCCCACCCCCTGGTACTGCTGAACCAGTTTTTCTTCATCTCCTGGCCTAAGCCCTGGGCTTTGCCTGCAGAGTATTGCTGAGTTACTCAGGGTGTGCTCCAGCTATAAAAACAATGCACGTGGCTGTTTAACACACACAGAATTGAGTTTTCCCTGCCTGGTGTTGGTGGCTATGTCATTTGTTTATCGAGCAGATGAGTTTTTCCTTTTAATTTCCTCATTTTCAGGGTTTTGGCTGGGAAACTGAGGGGCTTCCAGTCATCTTAATAAAAACACTGTAAGAGTGTAGTGGGATCTGTCCTCCTGTTAAATATGGAAGCTGTTGTGCTTTCAAAAACACAAAAATTGTAGTAAATTGTAGAGACTGCATGGATTAAGTACATTTCATTAACTTCAGAATTACTTTTCTTGCTTTTTAGAGGAAGATTCTGTGCAAGGCTTGAGTCCTTTTCTCTTTGATATTTTGGAGGAGTCAGGATGTTTCAGCCACATGCTAGAAGGGAAGGAGGTCAAGAAACCCTGGGAAAACTCACATGTTTTAATTTTTTTGTAAGGTGGTTTGAGAAGCTTGCAGAAGCCGAAAAAACTTTCAAGTGTTTCTGGATTCACATATCAAGCAAGGCCCTTATTAAACTCTTTTTTTGTTTTTCAAATTTCATCCCAACAATTATTAAGCACATTAAGTGCACATTTAATCACAGAGAATTTTAATCAGTTCTCAAACTGGAGGACAAATTGAGAAGTCATAGCTCCTAGAGTAATTTACTGCTATTTGCAGTATGACTTTTGCCCATTACTTGATTTTTTGGAAATAAGAATTGTGGAACCATAGAAAAATGCTCTCTAACTAGAGCAATTACAAGATTACATGCTTTAACATCTTTGCCCTTTATCTTATCACTAGCATTCCTGAAATAAATGCACATTTACTTGGTATATGATGGAATTTTGCTCATTGCCCTGCTGCCTTTTTGCCTTCTTTGTGAGGTTATTGTCACAAACTCTTGAATATACCAATTAGGTGTCAAATACACTGGATTTCACTTATTGGATTATTTTGGTTAAGATGTGTTTTTCCTTAAATATGTATGTGTTTTCTTCTTCTTTTTTTTTCCCCTTTGTTTTAAATTGGTTTGGTTTTTTTATAAAACAATCCTTGACAAAGATGGTGTTTGTTTGACAGCACCTGATTTTAACAGATGAACAAAATAAGCCCACGTGGGGTCAGTAGAATATATTCAGCGCAGAGAAAGGTATGACACTCATCTTTTAAGTGGGCAGGGTTATCACTATTGCAGACACAGGCACACTCCAAGGCAAACTTGGGGCAGACTTCTGCCTAGAAAGTGCAGCTTGGGCAAGTCAGTTCTCTGCAGAGTGGCCTCTCTTAAAGAAGAACCCTGCATTTTTAAATCTTACACCAAGATTTAACCCCTCCCTTATTTTCTCTGCCTTAACTGAGTGCAGATGACAGACCAGATGAATAAAGAGCACTAACTTTTATGATGTGGTGTACAAGCTCCATTTGAAGCCAGTGATCCACATCACCTGATGGAGAAATTACTTTTATAGTGATCTTGCACTGTTTACCCATTTTCCTGTGTATTCTATAAGTTTCTTTCAGAAGGAGTGTTGTGGGGTTGCCTGCAATTTTTTTTTTTTGTTTACAGAAGTCATGGAAATTCATTGTTCTTCACTTCTCTCACGCATCTAACCAGACTGATATGTGCTGAATAATTACAATTAAATTGCATTTTAACTACTAATTTTCATACACATCATGGCTGCTGTGAGAGGATCAGTGAACAGTTCTCAGAGCAGAGAGGGCTGCTCTGGAGAGACCTTTTTTTGCTCCCCCGTTTCACGGTGCTGCTTTTGGGACAGGACTGTGGGATAACTGCACCCATCACTCTGTGCTGGACATGGCAGCAGAGCTGGCAGGCAGATGCAGAAGGATGTAAAACGAAAAATGCTCATTTTCTGTGTGGTCTGAAGAGCTGAATGAGCCATTCTGAGGACAAATGGCTCTTTGCTTCCCTTATCTGTCCCTCTACCTCCAAGCTGGGAGCTGCACACAATGTGCATAAAGCAAGTTACACTATGGGATTGGTGCTACAGCTGTAATAACAAATCAGAGCCTCTACCTAGGAGGAAAAAGAAAGCTGGCACCCTGCCTCCTTTCACACTTGCATTCCTTTCAGGCCCCTAACAAGTGTAATATTGATGTGAATGGAACTGCTCGGGGTGATGTAGTTTCTGTCTGCATTTTTCTGTGCTCCCTTCAGACCCGTGCAAGGGTAGGACAGACTGGCTGGTGTGGAAAAGCAATGTTTTCCACAGCAGCGGCTGTTGTGTCCTGGCCTGCTGGGGCTGAGGTGGGGCATCACTGTCTTGCAACAAATATTTTGATTTTTGCGCACCAGCATCTCATTTTAGGTCTGTCTGGTTTCATCTGAAGTCTAAGCAAAAACTGGGAAAGGGGTCAGTTTACTGCTTCATTCCCAGGACATGAACATGAGAGGCTTGACTTTTCTTTAGAGTGTTTGTGTGAATGAGGCAACCAAGACAACTGCGCAAGGGTGGTTTACCTTGGAAGCAAAAATATTAGATGTGCTATTTGCTTTGTTTTAGTGTCCAACTGGATGGCTATTGCTTACAAACTGTTATTCCTTGGAAGCTGAACTATGCTATCAACATTGTAGACTAATTCAGCTTCTCCACACAAAGAGGGCTTTGTGCATGCAACATGTCTTGTGCGTTTCCTCACCTTTGTTTCCAAATGGGACAAGAGGAAGTCTGATGGAAATCCAACATTAGAAACTGCTCTAGAGCAGCCAGTGAAGAATATTTCCTGGTTTTTGAGTGTTTGAAGTGAGATTCTAGCAATGCCTTAAAGGGCCAGATAGGAGGCTTGCAGAAGTAGATTTGCTTTAAATTCTGATGGACTGGATTTAATTAACTCAGTTGAGCTGCAAATTCTACTCTAACAGGGGTCACAGTGGAGCCTCAGGGCTGCTGTTACCCTTCTAGAGACCAAGAAAGGGACTCAGTGTCCAGCCACAGGGTACTTCACGGCATAAAGTTTGCTTATAAATGTTCGTGCTTTGTGGCAGTTTAACTTTCAAATCCAGGCCTGGAACATTTGGTTTACAGCCATCTGATTATTTTTCTCTTTAAGGAAAAAAAATACTCACATTTTGGGAAAAAATCCCCAACCTTGCAGGACTCTGCAATTGATTGATGGCGGAACATGCTAGTCAGCCTTTGTCACCTTTTCTTTTTTTCCCGTTTCCTCCTGCAGATGAAGTGGTCCACGTCTCAGCCCCCCAGAAGTTCACCTTCGAGGAAGCTAGGGAGCTGTGTGAGGAGCGAGGAGGTGTCCTGGCTTCCGTGGGGAACCTCTACGTGGCCTGGAGGAATGGCTTTGACCAGTGTGACTACGGCTGGCTGGCGGACGGCAGCGTCCGCTACCCGGCCTCGGTGGCGCGGCCCCAGTGCGGCGGGGGCTTGCTTGGGGTGAGAACCCTGTATCGCTATGAGAACCAAACAGGCTTCCCTTACCCCGATAGCAAGTTTGATGCCTACTGCTATGAACGTAAGCATTTATTATTTTTTGTTTTCTGGGTGGTGGTTTGCAGCGTGCTTGCCGCGAGGAGCGGTTCCTTTGCCGCGCGTTTTGCGTCGGTTCTTGCGGTGCGCGCGGGTTTTTAGGAACTGGAACAACTAAAGCATTGTTGTCTTAAAGTAACATTGTCAATGTCTTAAAGTAACATTGGCAGGTGAAGACAGGCAGAGTTTTAAGGTAAGTTTTCAGCCTGAGCAGTGTTTTGACCGTGAGTCTGTGCGTGCTCCGTATTTTGATGCCTGAGCACACCTTGGTATCTTTGCATCTTGTCAATGGACACCAGACAGACATTCAAAGATCACCTGGGCATGTCACCTCCTCCAGGTGACTCTGCCTTGGCAGGAGGCTGGACTAGATGATCTCTGGAGGTCCTTTCCAAGCACATCTGTTCTGTGGTTCCATGATAAATGTCCTAAAGGTGAACAATGGATATTCTGTCCCCAGTGATGAGAGCAAGAGAAGCTGTTCTCGGGCTATGAAACAAGGCTGGCCACTTTCAGGTCTCTCAATGCCAGTAATTTGGGGCCTATCTCTGGATCCCAGGCATGTTGTCCCATCACTTTCTTTCTCTTTCCTACTCAGTGTTCCATGGGCCAGTGGGTGGTCTGAATTGCCTTTCTTACTGCGGCTTGTTTCCCTCCAGGTATTTTCACAGGCACTTCAAGTTCTTGCCACATTCACATGGTAGACTTCACCAATCTAAACCAGATGTCCTCCACACCTGTCAGCATTTTTTTGGGGTCAGATATTGCCCTGTAAGCTCATCTGTCTTCAGTGCCTGCCACCTGGCTCTGTTATGGTGCAACCACTCCTTGAATGGGTTCCTGTTGTCCCAAAAGGTTCACCAGCTTCCCAGCTGAATATCCTGCTTCCCTGAGACTTGCAGCCTCAGCACAGGGGGGTTGGACAGCTCAACTATTTCCCTGCAGGCCTCTCTGTCCAAGGAAGTTCCTTGTTGCAAATAGCATGACTGACATTAACATTGTGTTGAGTTAAAAGTTCAGAACTTGGTCATTAATGATGAATATTTAGGTTTTTTTGGACTCAGTCCAGTGACTGTAACTCAGAACTACTTGAAATGTGCAGTTTGTACTGTCCCCATTTTTGTGGATAATGAACTTACTGCAGCTGCAGATCTTTCTAGCTCAGGCACTGAAGACCCATTTATGAGCAAATCTTACTCTTTGAGAACAAATCCCCACATCTGCTGCAACATTATGGTCTGGCTGTTCTCAGACACTGTTGGTTTGTTGTTTTAATTTTCCTTTATAGTTTGTGGGTATGATGTTCCAAAACTTTGCATGTGGAAATAGTCCTAATGGAACTGGTTACAGGAAAAAGGACTTAAGTTCAGGAGTCTGTGCTCTAATCTGCAGAGCAGCATTTTGTCATATCACTCCTTCTGTTCCTACTCCAAATTGTTTATGACCTGTTTAAAGTGTTGTGGATAAAAAAGACTTTAATGAGGGTGTATTTCATAAGTCCCTCTAAAAGACTGGGGTAAGAACTGAATATTTTGCCTGTAATCTAGTCTTTAGTTAGGACAAATTCCAACCTTCTGTTTGTTTTTGTGAATTTTGCCTCTTTCAAGCAAGATATGCATTTACAATGTTCTTTCCAGAAGTTTTAGTTAGCACAGTTTGTGGTAACATACCATTTGTTGCAAAAGTGACCTTGATAGGTATTGGGTTGTTGCCTTTTATGTAAAGGCTTTTCCTGAGAAGTCTTGCTCTTGGTATATAAAGAATAAATATTTCATCACTTTGCAGCCCAGGAATAGACAATTCAGGACTATCAAACTTTTTACAAGAGAAAATAAGACTAAACAGAACCAAAACAATTTGGTAGAGGCTGAACAGCTCTTCAGCACTTTTAATTACAAACAATGGAATATCAGAATTAATTGAACACTGCTGGCTAGAGGACTCAGGTTTTGCCAGACTCATCTGCCTTTGTGTAGGGAAATGCAGGGGTGTCATGCTGTACCCTCCTTCAGGGTGCCACAAATTTCAGAAGTTACTGAAAGCTCTCTCTCCCTCTCAGAAGGTGCTTGGGATCTCACAGGAGCCAGCTGTGACTCCTCACTGCTTTTGCTAAAAGATTTATGCAAGTGGTGAGTAATGAGACTCCCTGCCCAGCATCTTGGTCCTCCACATCTCAAGCAGCTGCCTGGTGCAGTGGCTTCAGAGTGAGTCACTCTCTCCCACTGGGGCCTTGGAGCCAGTCCCTTCTTTGGGGCAGAAAAAGGGAGAGGATAAAAAAAAAAAAAAACAAAAACCCAACAGGCTCTGCATGAGAGCAGAAGGCTTGAATTTAAGCCCTTTGTTTCAAATCATCCTTTGTCTGGAAGTTTCTTCCGAAATTTCCCATTATCTCAGTTTCAAAGTTTTGGTCCACCACAAAATCTGTTGTCCCCCAGCTCTGCCTGCCTTGGGGTTGGCATTAAGCTCTCACACAGTGATTCCCACAGTGCCTGACAACAAAACTGTCCTGCCCAGCACCTGGGCTCTCAGTGAAACCCCTGCTCACAGCTCTCACTGTGTGTGTCTCACACCTCTCCCTCCTCACCTGGACACGCAGTCACACCACAGCACCCCTGTGCTTATTCAAGCTGTTCCTGTCTTCACAAAGACAAATTGTGCATTTGAGAAAGGGGATATCTCCTTCATCCTGCTCAGGCTCCTCACTCCTGTTTCGTGATTATGGGTCTCTCTGCTGGAAAGTCTCAAAATGTTAATTTTAATTTGTGGTTTTAAGAAACCTCAATCTGTATTTTGAGCATTTTGTTTGCTTTCAAAGAGGAATCATATTTATTGAAATACATGAAAAACACAGGGAGTAAATTCAATTTAAAAATTATATTCACTAGTTTCAGTAGAGCAGCCAACCTGGACAACTTTTAAAGTACAGTTAAGTTCAGAATTTTAACTTCAGCAGTGTTATGGGTGCAAAATTACATTGTATGAAATGTCTTGACTTTATGAAAATAAGAGTGGCCCAGACTAATAATACATGATTTAAAATATAAAAGCCTTGTTAAAAACCCCTGAAACTTTCTCCCCTTTGATCACAAGTGCTTTTCACTCTTCAAAAACCACATGGGTCTAAGTTTCTGAAACATTATCTGTCTGTTTCATTTCATACCTCCAAGGCTTTTGCCAGACCTTTTCTTTCTTTTTTTTTTCTTTTTTTTTTTTTTTCTCTCTGAGAGATACCTAATCATGTATCTGATGGGGCCTGAAAAGGTTTCAGGTTAGACACATGATTAAGTACTTTCAGCTCCTTGGAGGCCATCATCAGAGGGAAAATTTTTCAAGTGTTAACATATAGGACTTATGTTAATATGTTTAAATTAAAAAAAAAAAAAAAGAACAGCTGCTGCTGAGCACTTATGCTAATTTGTAAGAGATGAAAATATTTCATCATTAAGAAGATGATGAATATAATTTAAATTGCTTAAAATGTATCTTTTTAATAGATACGTATATAATAATTAGTTCTTTCAGAGAGCTATAGGGGATTTACTTAATCCTGTACTTCAGCCTCCCAGTCCCTCCAGGGCTATTTCACTGGACTTTGTAGAAATCTTGTCACAGACTTCAGCTGACTTTGGATGGACCTTTTCATCCCACAGCAGCCATTGAACAAATTGCTCTCCAGAAATGCATTAATCAAAATGCATTCAGGTTCTTAACTTACATACCTGCAACAAAGCTGAAGTTGATGAGCTCTGTACACAGAGGTGGTTGGATTTTTTGAAACACAAACCCCCTTTTTGCTGAGAAACACTGATTTATTAAAGCTGAATTCTTTCATAGACCTGTATTGGTTTTGGCGAATCTTTCAGCAAAACATTTTTCACTTTGACTCAAAACACGTGTTGACCGTTTCGCTCTGGATTTGCCCATTCTCTTTCCCATTTTCCTCTCTCTCATTTTGACTTTTGTTTCATGCACCTTTATTGCTTCTCTTTTGTTACACCACTTTGGTTTGGCATCGCGGCTCAATGTTAGCAGGAGATTGGAAAATTCCAGTTCTGGGCTGGTGTTGCCATGCCTGTTCCTCAGGAATGGAGAGTCCACGCTGCTTTGATTGCTCCAATCCAGCCCCGTCGAGAGTGGGTCCAAGTCTGCCACTGCTCGGGGCTGAGGCCCTCTTGCTTTGATGCTTCATCCATCTAAAGCTCCAAATCTGCTCTGTAGGAGAAATATAGGAAATTATGACCTCCACAGGGCTTTGGGGCGTCCTACAGCACCACCATGGCAGGCTCAGGCAGCATCCACAGTGCTCCTCTTGTCCTGCAGCAGGATAAAGGATAAAGGCTGCTGGGCACAGCTCAGGAGCTGGCAGGAGGAACGCTGTCTTCCCCTTCTGCTGCATGTGACTTAGCTTGGAAAACCTTGAATAGCCGTGCAGCTCTGTCCTTCTCCACAGCAACCGTCGGTAGCTGCGTGTCCCAGCTATTTCCTGGATGAGGGAATTATTTCCAGCCTGATGTCAGGGGCTGTGTTACGGGAGATCTGTGGATTTCTGATCAGTTTGGGAATGGACGCGGAATAATGAAGACATCGGGCGTGGCGAAGCACGAGGAGCAGAATTGCCAATCTGAAGGGGGGGGGAAAAAAAAACCAAAAAGAAATTTATATCTGAAGAAGCACAGTGCTGGGCATAATAAATAATGAACACAGTGTGCTCCAGCATTTCAGAGTCCAGTGTCAGAATGGGGAAATGCCTTTGGGCAGGTGAGGATCCCAAGGTCAGGGCATTGAGCACAGCCTGTGCAGGGCTGCTGGCTCTGCTCAGGCCGCCTCTCCGTGAAGGTGAAGCTGTGCAAAGAGATTACCCCCAGACAGCCATTCTCCAGCCTTTTATGATCTTCCTAAGAAAGCAGATTTATGTTCTTCTCTCAGATATGCCATTTGTCAAGTCCCCCACAGCTGCAGAGATCCCTGGTAATTTCTCGGCCCAGG